TTGTGAGTTTGTGACATAGGACAATAAATAACTTCAACATTGATTACTTGATAGTAGGTAAAATTATAAACATGATTTAAAATACACAAGAAAGTTGGTGTGCACATGTATATGCCTATAAAGTAGAAAGTGTTTGTCATGCTTTTGTTTTGGAAAAAAATATATTTTTGAGAGGCTGCTTTCAACGCACCTTTGCCGTTAAGAAAACTACCTTCACGAATATTCTTTTTTTTTTTATTATTCAAAGAAGTATCATAAGTTTTGAAAAAGAAAGAAAAAACAATCCATGACTAACAATTTTGTTTACGTTTCCATTTTTTTTTTTAAACAATTTTTTCCTGAGAAATTTTAAAGCTTGCCACTGTTATCCAAACCAAAGCTCAGCTCGTTTTATCTCATAAAAAATATTAATATCATCGGTAGATGAGTATCATCCATGTCAAATACTTTAATCATAATAAATGTATCAAAAACCTTTGATCATAATAATCTTCTTTTTTTTTTTGGTCTGCGACTTTTACAAGTATATTGGAACCGAATATTCGGATTAAAGGTAAATGCATAATGAGCTAGATAAAACCGGTTTGGTTTAGATCTTCCAGTTTACTTTGAGGTACATCTAATCCCATAATGACACGTGTCCAGTTCAGACACTGTCGCACTCCTGACTCCAACCATTCCCCTATTAGACCATCTATTATTAAAAACACACTCTCTCTTCCTTTTACTTAACTTTATACCTTCTCTTTCATCNTTTTANTCAANTTTTATTAATNTTATANTNTNTTTAAATATAAAATTATTAAAAANACANTNTTTCTCTCTTCAAAAGTATCAACTATTTGATACTTTTGATATTCTCTCTCTCCAAAAATACCCACTATCTCTTCTCTTTACTCAAATTTATTCATTTTATATTTTAATATACCTCATTATTTCAACCAAAAACACCATCTTTCTTCCTTTTACTCAAATTTTAATAATTTTATATTTAATGATACCCACCAAAATTCACCAATACGGATGCTCTTAGTCTCTCTCCATTATATTATTTCTGGAACTATGTAAAAAGCAAAAGTAAAAATAGCAACAA